ATGTATGTAAATGACAAGCATACAGAACACAACTTTGCTGAATCAGTGGGTAAGAACTTCGGCTGAAAGCCTCCCTCGTCAGGCTGTAGTCGATATGACTCGTCTCGTATTGTAGCAACTCAATTGGATGGTGGCACTATCTCGATAATCTTCTTTTCACGCGGTGGCAATGGTTGCCTGCTTGGCTGAAAATTGCAATTGATTTATTTTGCTAACAGTCGATTAATTATCCTATAGCCTGCACCTTACAGGAACAAGAATTAATAACACGGTAAAGATTCGACAAAGTTAAGCTAACCTCATTCATTGTTGGAATTTTGAACTTCATTGAGTTGGAGAAAAATCTGTCTAAATCTCCGTACAAACAGGTTCCTAATTCATCTCGATACAAACAATTTCCTCTCCATCCTTTATTTTTGGCTCAATGGTGATATTCCGATCTGGACCTTGCACAAAGTGCACTGCTGTCACCAACGTGACGAAAATCTCTCATGGCATAGTGCGCAAATTGTTTTTGGTAAAAAGCACTCCCAAATGAATCTCCTGTATCACGACTTAAAGTTATCTCACAGCTCACCTGTTGGGTAGGATCGAAATACACCACATCAGTTGGCTGACGCGGCATACTAAAATTATGCTGCGGTGGAGGGATTGGTGGTGGCACAGCGATCGGCGCCGGTGGTGGCAGTATCTCGCCACGCTGTTCAGAATATCGCTTCGGCCCAGTAAATCCACGGGTTGGATAGGCATCACCGCGTGGCGAATAACCGCCGCGAGGCGACGCGACGATACCGCCACGACCGCGTCCAACATAACCTCCTCGCGGTACATAACCGCCTCGAGCGTCGTAGAAAGCACCATTGTCTAAAGCTGTAGATACAAAACAATAATGATCTAATTCACGAATTGTTTTCAATAGCACTTCCATGCAAACAATAGATACCTCTTGGAGAGTACCCAGCATTTCTCTGCGGCGGAACTTCGTCTCGTTGATAATTGTCATGATTTAAAGATGTGAACGTCCGCGTCGGTTGTCCACGCGTGTATGAACTAGCTGCAAACAAATAAAGTTGCTGCCAAAAAAGCGC